CGCATCATATGGAGGATCAACAACACGAGGAACCATTTGCATCCCACTTGGATATGGTCCAAAGCTACTGGATCGCAACAGGTTCATTCAGCTTCCGGTTTCACAGATCAACCACCTTTCCCTACAATCGGAGATAGAAACGCTGCTCCAGAAATAAGCATCGGTAGACAAGTTAGTAGTTACATTCCACTTGACACACAACCACGATTCATCAAGAATCGGTCGCTGCCGTGTATGGTGCGATCGAAGGTAGAAGCGGAACTTGACCGCCTGCAGAAGAGCGGCGTCATAGAGTCAGTATAGTTTTCGGATTGGGCTACACCAATTGTTCCGGTACTCAAGCCTGATGGATTGATTCGTATATGTGGGGACTATAAAATTACTGTCAATTGCAATATTCCGGCTGAAAAAATACCCGATCCCGAAAATTGAAGACGTTTACGTTCAGCACGGCACAAACAGATATTTCTCCACATTAGACCTGGCATAGGCTTATCAGCAGCTCGAACTACACAAAGGCGCCAAAACAATAACGACGATCATTACTCATCGAGGCTTGTTCAGAGATAACAGACTACCATTCGGCATCCAGTCGGCTACTGTCAGTTTCCAGCGAACAATAGAGAAAAAAATAACAGGGTTGCCTAAGGCTTTCGTGGGCCTTGACGACAGCTTGGTTACGGGGGCGACAAGTGACGAACATGTACAAAATCTGCGAGTTGTTCTGGACCGCCTGAATGAGAAAAGTTTGAGTTTGAAGCGGGAGATATGCATCTTCTTGGTGCCCCACGCTGACCAGTTGGGTTTTCGCATAAGAGCAGAGGGACTGGTGACAATTGAGGAGAAAACTCGGCCTATCCTTCAGGCCCCACAACCGAGGATTCAAAACGAGTTGAGGCCGTTCTTGAGGATGCACGATCACTACTCAATGTTTGTTCGACATTCAGTCATATTGCATCATAATTTGCATCGTGTGTTATGCATGGGCGCTTAGTGAGTGTGGCCTGAGACGGAGGAATTGGCTTTTCGCCAAGTTAAAAGTGCGTTGGCCAGTCCACCAGTTTTGGTCCACTTTGACCCCGAAAAGTACATGACGCTGACATGTGATGCATCGCCCTACGGAGTCGGAGCCCAGCCGAACCGAGTAAGCAAATCAGTTGCATTTGCTTCTCTGACCATATTGCAGGCCGAACAAAATTATGCCCAAATTGACAAGGAGGCTTTGGCGGTCGTATTTGGGGTTGTACGATTTCATCATTAGCTGTTCGGGCAGAGATTTAAATACACATGGACCACAAGCCACTACTGGAAATTCCGGGTGAATTGAAAACGACACCCCAAATAGCATCGCGCTGTCTGTTTCGCTTCGCCCTATAGCTCGCTGGTTATCAGTATCGATTGAAATATCTTCCCAGGAAAGAGAATCACTGTACCGACGATTCCAGCCGACTTCCATTAAGGGTAGTTTCGAGCCACACACCAGCTTTGTGAGCGTTGGTGCAAGTAATATCTTGATTGGATGATTCGCTAGTGACCGCCACGGAGATAAATTCGGAAACGAGGAGTGACCCCGACATGTAGAAACTGCCTGGTTATGTCCCTAGTGGTTGGGCGGATAGTGTAGAAGAAGAAGGCCACAGCCGGTACGCAGTACCGAGGCTTCGCTGCCGCACAACCAACACCGGTTGCACATGGGCTGAAGATACTGCGAGGGTCGCCCTGCCCCTAAGTAGGCTCGAACCCGCTGCGTCAGGTTACAAGGCAAGTGCGTTACCTTCAGGCTAGGGGCCGGCGACGAGGTCCAAAAGCATTTCCCATACGGCGATGAACTGAGCCCCGAGGATGATTGCAGACTTTATGTCTCTGAGGTCGTCGTCCCCAAACGGCATCGTCAAACAATCTTTCAGCGACTCCATGTGGTTCACTATGGAAATTCAAACTACCTCTGTAGGAACGTGTCCACTTGTGTCTGTATACTTCCGGACTATTGTTTGGACACACCCAGTTTAATGGTCGGGATCACTGTCTCCGCCAGACCGATGAACAATGAATTTATACGGGTTAAGAACCGTTGCTTTACAAGTCCCGCTGGATAGTTGGTGGGGATATCAACATAACAATAATGATAATAAGGATAGTAAAATAGTTAATACTTTACATATGATAATAAGGACTTATCGTTTGCTTCGTTGTAGTCCTGCGATTCTCTTAGATTCACAGCACCCATAGTTAACCACACATAATTCCATGGTAAACTCCAGGTGTAGGATGGAGAGGTAGTGTTAACAAAGTGTAAGTGGATGAGTGCATCGTCCAACCGTCTTTTGAATACTGTTAGCGTCCGTGCAGAGATGACCGATTCTGGGAGAGCATTCTACGGGTGACAGACACGAATGGAAAAGAAATTTCCATGGCACTCCAGACGACTGTATTGTTCTGCGAGTTTTAATGAGTGGCCCCTCAGGTTTGTATTGCTGCTGAGTTGCAGTAAAGGTCGGCACACATGATGTGGGTCTCGCAGAATCAAGTATGCCACGATCAGGTCGCCTCGTAGTCTGCGATAGCTTCCACTGAACACCCAATCGTTGCAGCCTCTCCTGGTCGGAAAGATCACGCATTCCAATTACGTTCTTAGATGCCTGGCGTTGAGGCTGCTCCAGTGCATTAAGGTGGTGTTTCAGCCATGGATGCCAGGCTTGAATTGCATATTCGACATGGGGGCGAACATACGCACTGAGCATTTGTCGAAATATGGAGGGGTTTATTTGTCCAAAAGGTGATATGATGCCCAGAGAAGGTGCTCGATTCCTTTTGGACGCAAGAATTGCCCGAGCTTGTTGCTAACAAATGCCTGATCATTATCTGAAACTACTGTATTTGGTACACCGTGCGTAGGAAAGAGTTTCGATAAGATGTGCACAGTGGTTGAACCAGTCATGGGTGTGGTTACCCGAAGTTCGATTCATTTGGGATGTGCATCCACTGCAACCAACAGCATGAAGCCGTCGATGCGTCCACAGAGAGGGCCGTTGCCATGAGGACATCGACACAATCTGTGGGGATAATTGGTTCTCTTAGTACCTGTCGTATAATTACTGTAGAATACAGGTGCTGATTTTCCGCCTAATTGGGTGCCCTACTTATTTATTTGTTTATTTATGCAGTTCTTTACGCACAACTTATGAAATCAGATCCCCCATTCACAAACGCTTCTGGACAGACTAACGTACAGCTCTACACACATGTCCCTTGTATCTTCAAAGTGAAAGGTAGTACATAAATAAATAAATAAAAGGCATATTTCTCAACTTGGAGAGATGCTAATCCCAATCATAGTTAGCTCCAATGTATTACAGATGTTGCATGCTCTCGCATTACGTTAAGTAAATGGGTTCAAGTGCAAATATCAAGAGGTATAGGGCAGGAGCATCAAATAGTGAAAATGCGGATGGATTCTTGGATTTTCTCTGATGTAAAAACTTGTTTTTTTTATCTTGAGCACTACCGATGTTAGTGAAAGTTTCAAATGGTCTTGTTCCGTTCATTGCGTTCGGAGATGGTGTCCTTGGTGAATTTTTTTGGAGGAAATGACCGAAGTTAACCAAAGAGAAAAGCTATGTATAGTTGAGAGGGAAATGTAAAAGCTTAATAAAATGGTATTAAATGGAGGGTTTTGGTGTGGCTCTCTCCCGCTCCACGAGCAGTGTTTGACACAGAAGTTAGAAGTAGAATTTGGGGTTTTTGGAGCACCCACCGTGTGTCTTGGATTGCGACGCGCAATCTCACTAATGGCGGCGGTTGACTTTGAAGTCAGCCTCTGCCAATACGGTCACTGGTATTAACTTTAGTGAAGGTCTAGGTGAACAAATCACAAATCCTAGCCAGCAGCTAAGAACCGCTGGCAGTGATCGATCGGTTCGTCTACTCTGGACGTTGTGTAACCTTTAGTGGTCACACGACATACTGACAACGCCCGCATAGTTTCGATGGTTTCAACCAATTATGGGACATCAATTCGACAATCGAAGGTAAGGTCTACAGCGCTGCGATAACGCTGATGTTGGGGTTCGGTCCAGAAATGTGACCAATTCGTACTGAGGAGACCAAGAGGTTGGTTGCGTTTGATCACCGGTGCTTGCAGACTATTGCTCACATCTGGTGGGAACACTGGGTGAGCAATACTGAGGTCCGCCAGCTGGTTTTGGAGAAAAAACCTTCTGTGTGGCGCTGGAATGTCCGACAAATTTAAACCGTTTGAGTTAGCAGGGTCATATCCACCGCCTACCTATTGACTGTTTTTTGTGCTACCGTTGCGCTGGTTTGGGAGAAACTACAGGCTAACCAATAGATGGCGTACCTTAGGAGGTCGAAGAAATTGACCGAGATACTGGATCAGAATGGCGCTTGCCACCTTGATGAATGGAAGCCACCTCAGTTGCTGCACATCTACTCCATCACGACGCAGTCAAATACTCAATGGAGCTCGTGTATTTGTTCTATGGCATCGAGTTGTCAATATTCTGCCCCGATTAACTCTTCTCGCTATTTGCTGTTTCCTTTGCCTCACCATCTTCATTTAAACTTATCTAGGTGCCGTGAGTTGCAGCAATTGAATGCTCTGTACATCAGTGTCCGGAGCATAGCTGTTTAACGGAATTGATTTGCGTGTTTACTAATTGATTGTTTGATGGCCCATTGCCCTAATCTTTTGAGTAGTTTCATGATATATGTACACGTGTTTATGTGACGAGTATCCGAAACGAAGGCATTGAGCCTTTTACCCATAACTTTCCTGGTTTGGGAAGGCTCCGCCTACTGGATCTCGGTGAAGCTGATTTTGTGTGATCCTCTAATCATTGCAAACGCACATTCGCAACGTGCTTATATTCACCAATGATGTGCACACATTTCGATACTGTTTGATGGGTGTCAGTGCTCATTTTAAAGCGGTAAGCAGTTGAACACATTCGCGATGTTTTGTGCATTTGTCACTGTTCAAGATCTGGCGACTCGAACTCGACAGTGCGTCGTTGGTCGACGCTGATGAGGGGTCCATTTCAATCGAAGAACGAAGTGCGGACCAGCAAATACAGAACAAAGCCGAACATGCTGCGACGTTGAAGCATCACGTCGGGGCTGTGTGGTCTCTGTGTTGGCACTGGGAAGGACGTTTCCTGGCGAGCGGGGGTCTTGACGGAATCATTTGTATTTGGGATTGCGAAAAGGCCAAATCCACCATCAATGCCACCTCAACTGGAAGGCACTTTTGCAGATCGGCCTTTAGAAAGCACCACGGCTCAGTCAACTCTGTCGCATTCCTGCCTTATGGGAACATCATGGTCAGTGCTTCAGTGGACAAGACCGTTTCTCTTTGGGACGTGAGAAGTGTGAGTTTAGACCGAAAATGTTTATGCTTATTTTTCATGTCAGCATTGAAAATCATCAAACACATATTGCAATGATTCCTGGCTGTTAACAGGTTAAAAGCATATCGGTGGTGAGCACTGTGGGAACTCAGAGAGCATAGTGGCTATCCGTTTTTGCGAGTAACTTCAGTTTCAGAATTTCCGCATCGTCGTTCATTCGTGTGATCACAGTATACCGGTCTGTTGAGATTCAAGCTCGGAAGTGGAACTGGTACACAAAGAACTAAGACGAGCACAGTAAAACCTTGTAAATTGACCATTCAAGGGACTGGTTCAAAGTAGTCAACCTAGAGGTCCAATATAAATACTCAGCATACTTTACTTTCCCGTTGTGAATATTACGGTATAAACTTTCACTCACATCCAGTGTCGAACGTTAGATGAGCTCTTGCGTAAGAATGAATAAAGTTAGATCATACAGTATGATAATAAAGTAAAAGGTAGTGTGGGTTCCTCAAAGTTAAATCGCATTGTTGAAAAAACTCAATCATTGTTTCGTGCTCTTGTGACAAATGTAACTGGCGGAGATAAACCTTTTTGGGTCGATACATGGACGATAATTTGTGATGGATAAACGTTAACCTGCATGTAATTCTTGACCGTTTTAACCGAGTCCATGCAGCAGTGCAGTTTACTTACGAGAAGAAAATCGAGAATCGGCTACCATATCTTAATGTCTTGTTAACTAGGAGACCAGACGGATCTATCCAACGTCAGGTCTGCGGAAAGACGACTCGGATAGGTTACTATGCGAACTTCTACAGTTTGTTCCTGTGAGATACAAGGGCAACTTGGTTTAGTGTCTTACCTCGAGAGCATGTCGAATTTGCTCGTTAGGCACCCTAGATAAGGAATTGATATTCCTAAAAAATACGCTACGTGGAAATGTACATCCAGATGGATTACTTTCAAGAAACTTCCAAGAAATACCTAAATCAGTGCCAGTGTTAACAGCGGCAAAGAAAGAGCTATTCGTTCGGTTACCTTTCAAATGGGACGTGATTACCGAGCGTCTAACTAGAAGCCTTTTGGCCGAGGTATAGCTGACCATCTCAGCAGCCTCGCTACAGTTTGTATTTTCAATGGAACCATTCATTCGATCATAAAACAAGTACAAGTTGCCGATGATGACCATCTCCATGGTAATTTATCAAATCGAGTGCGCCTGTGACGCAAGGTATATTTGTCGAACGGCGAGGCACTTATCCAAGCGGGTGAACGAACATTGCCCTCGTTGGCTGCGTGAAGGAAGCGCCGGGACCATTCTAGCTCATATTGTGGACAGCAGGCCATGAGGTAGATCTGGAAGGTGATGCAGAGGATGAGCGCGTCAAGGTCATGTTACACTACCTAGCCTGTGGAGCCGCATTGTGCGCGCTAGTGCGTGAGTGTACATCTCCCGACAAACCAGTGACGCTTATTGAGTGGTTCAAAAAGAGTGTGCTTAGCTAAAACGTGTGGACTGCAAAAACCAAACAGTTGATGTCTACCCAGTGTGGACTGCCGATGTACCATTGCCCTTACTTCTACTATACTTCCATTTACAATACTGTTGTTCTGAATTCGGTTGAGTGTAACAATTTGGCGACGGAGGTTATTCTGATTGCTCATGGCAAATTCAATAACGGCATCCCAACCCTTTTGGAATTCTTCTACTGAAAGGCCTACTGCGCAACAATGGTTGCAGTGGAAAACTACATTTACTAACTACGTTGATTTGCTTTTGCTCCTTGGCGGAAATTGCGCGATTGATGATGCAGCGAAAATTAAATTACTACGCCACCATCTCGGCATCAAGGGCCAGCGACATTTCGACAGTTTACAATTACATACGAAGCGAGACCTAAAAACTGTGTGCTATTCCCTGGACCGAATATGGGGGGAAAAGCCCCATGTGTTTACTGCTCGGTATAAATTCAGCACCATGCGACAACAGCCAAATGAGACTGTAAATGAGTTTATCTCTCGTCTCCTTACTGCTCTCCCTGACTGCGCCTATGATCAGATCCTTCCAGCCCAGTTCGAAGAAGCGATGCTGTTACAGACATTAATCGTGGGTGTTTTCGATGAGGGTACGAGAACGTCTGCTCTCTGAAGATGAAACGCTACTGACGTGGGAAAAAGTATGTGATATAGTTCGACAGCGTGCCAACCTCGTCCAGGAACTAGCCACATTTCCCTCTTCAAATCAATCAATCTCACATGACGTAAACAAGGTCTACCAGACTAACCGTGGACATGCCTTACCTCGCCTCGTACAGCGCAAGGAATTCCGTTGTTACCGTTGCGGGGAGAATCACTTGTCCCCGACTGACTGCCCGCACATTCATTCATTATGCAGATTTTGTGGGAAAATGGGTCATATTCAGAAAGTGTGTCTCTCCAAGCGGAAATCACTCGTCCAGGAACAATCTAAGGCTACAAACTGCATTATCGATGAATTGCACCAGAATTGGATTAACACCACAACCGTTTTTAATCGCACCATTACAGCAGAAAAACCGTTTGTCGTATCCGTCCAAGTGAACGAACAACCGGTAGAGTTTGAAATTGATACCGGTTCCGCAGTCACTTTTATCCGACCAGACGCCATATCCCAACTTCCAAAACTGTGTCCATCGAACATACGGTTGCGATCTTACACGAGACAGATGGTGAATGTGCTTGGTACCTTCAATGCACGCATTTCTTACCGTAATTCAACGAGTCATATGTGTGTGTACGTTTCTGGAGGACCGGGTCCAAACATCCTGAGCCGCGATGGAATTAAACGCTTTCCTGGCATAATGTCGAACGTCAACCTGGTGAAAGACAATCCGCAGTTATCCGAGATTTTGCAGAAGCATGCAGTCTTATTTGATCGTTCTAGATCAGGACTTTTAAAGAATTACAGTGCACATCTGGTATTGAAACCACAAACAAAACCGCGGTTCTGGAAAGCTCGCGCTGTTCCCTATGCCCTCCGTGATAAGGTCGAAAGTGTACTGCGCCGACTTCAGTCGGAAGGTACCGTTGAACCCGTGCAGTATTCAGACTGGGCAACCCCCATTGTGCCAGTATTGAAGAGCGACGGTACGATAAGAATCTGCGGGGACTACAAAGTTACGATAAACCAGGCGTTAGAATTAGACCGATATCCGCTACCAAAGATTGAAGACATTTACGCTTCCCTTTCCTGTGGTGATCTATTTACAAAACTAGATTGGAGTCATGCCTACCAACAAATTGAACTCGATGAGGAATCACGTACGTACACCACCATTAGTACTCATCTCGGATTATTCCGCTATATACGCATGCCTTTTGGAATAAGCTCGGCTCCACCTATTTTTCAACGTATTATTGACTCACTTGTGAAAGATATACCAAACACATGTGCGTACTTAGATGACATTTTAATTTCTGGACGAACTACCGCTGAGCACTTACATACATTGGACGTCGTCCTGAAGCGGTTATCGGATGCCGGTTTGGTTCTAAAAAGAGAAAAGTGTGAGTTCCTTGTTCCGAGTGTACAGTATCTTGGCTATCGGTTGTCACGTGAAGGATTGTGCCCACTGGAAGAAAAGACAAAGGCGCTACTTGAGGCGCCAGCACCCAGAATTGTTCATGAATTGCGGTCGTTCCTCGGTGTTGTCACTCAGTTTTCCAGGTTTATACCATCGGCAGCAACTCATCTGCATCCCCTTCACCAGCTGTTACGTAAAAACCAAAGCTGGAATTGGAACAGTACTCATGAAAACGCATTCAGAGCCGTCAAGAAGCTCTTAGCATCTACAGATGTTCTGGTGCATTATGATCCAAAGAAGCCTGTTGTTCTTTTTTGTGACGCCTCACCTTACGGTCTCGGAGCTGTTTTAATGCACAATTTACCGAATGGCTCTCAACGCAGCATTGCTTATGCTTCAAGAACCCTGACACCAGCAGAACGGAACTACTCTCAACTTGATCCAGAGACAGCCGCTGTCATCTTCGGCACCACTCTATTTCAGCAATATTTACTCGGGCGACCTTCTGTGATCCATACGGACCATAAACCCCTTGTTTTCCTCCTCGGCCACGAGAAAGATATTCAACAAATGGCTTCACCTAGAATGGTACGTTGGTCGCTTATTCTTTCTGCGTATACATACGAAATTCAGTACGTTCCAGGCAAACAGAATACCACTGCTGATGTTCTTAGCCGGCTTCCCTTACGAGAGACACCATCGAAAGAATTTATCCCACAAGAGCTCGTAAACCTGGTCCAGCATTTTAATGATTCCCCAGTCCCATGTACAGACATACGTCAGGAAACTGACAGAGACCCTGTTCTATCGCTGGTCAAACGCTATGTCCAAGTTGGGTGGCCGGACAACACCCCCAAAGAACTCATGCCCTTCCGTAACAGGATGTCTGAACTCAGCCTCCAGAATGGATGCTTTCTGTGGGGCACACTAGTTATTGTCCCCAAGAAATTTCGGTCACGTATCCTTGACGAACTACATGATGCGCATCCAGGTGTCGCAAAGACGAAGTCGTTAGCTCGATTTTATGTGTGGTGGCCTGAATTGGACCGTGATATTGTGGCGAAGGTTGGAAGTTGCAGACCTTGTCAGGAGACCCGAAACGCCGCTCCTCATGCGCCAATGCAGCCTTGGAAGTGGCCAGAAACACCCTGGAAACGAGTCCACGTAGACTATTTCGGTCCCTACGAAGGTCGGATGATTTTGCTAATCATCGATGCCCATTCTAAATGGATTGATGCCCATATTCTTGTTTCAGCAAATTCAGCTGGTACTATAGAGAAACTACGCACAACGTTTGCAACATTTGGCCTTCCCGAGACATTAGTATCTGACAATGGACCAGCTTTCGCCAGTGTTGAGTTTTCTACCTTCCTCAACTCGAACGGCATTAAACACATAACAACTGCACCCTATCATCCTTCTTCTAATGGGTTGGCGGAGAGACCCGTACAA